TTTATGTATTTCGTCCTGAAAAAGAAGGCCTGAAATAACCTTAAAATCTTTCTTTTACCTTAAATTTCACCGTGTTCTATATCATAGGAAATGGCCTGTACCAAATAATACTCACAGGAAATCAGAGAAATATATTTTCTTCGGCCTTTTCTGAAAGCATATTGTAAGTGATGGCAGTTTACCTGTAGGTGCAAATCTGTTGCTTGAGTTGCTCCTCAGGAGCTAAAGTATCAATATAATTTGACCCAATTCACTCAGGTATGGCTAAAGTCAGGTGTTTGGTGCTGTCTTCTTGTTAATAAATAAGCATCTACAGTTCGAAGTGCTGATAGAATGGAAATTTTAAAATTACAGTATGTTTACTGTCCTAAGAAATAGCACTGTACTAAGAATCAGAAAACCCGAGTCTTAACACTGATCCTGCTGCCTACACATCATATGACCTGGGGCGGTAATTCTGCTCAGCCTTGGTTTCCTTATGTTACAGCTGAGAATGGCTGCCTCCTTTGCTTCCTAGAGTTACAATGATGATCAAACAACTGTTGCATGTTACTTCCTTTGCAATGGATGATAGAGACATACATTTGATGGAGATGTTCCAGGGGTTCTCAAAGTTCTATGTTTCCTACAGTAATTTCTCCTAGGGATCTTGCTACAAATGTAGATTCTGATTTACTTCGAGACCTGATTATCTGGGAGTGGGGTTTGGAAAGCTACCCTTATAGTGATAAATCTAGGTCGATTTGATGGACATGAAAAACTAGAGCCACCAGAAGAGAAATAGAATGCAATTAGCATACATTTAATTTAATCAGATAGCTAATATTTAATATCTAATTAAATATCTAATTTGATACTTGATTGAGTTAGATATTTAATTTAATTATGTTTTGCTTATTTGTTGGTGTCTATGTGTGTGCATGTCATAATTCAGTGAAGGAATCCTCTGGTTTATGCTTTTAATATTAATGTTAATTACTATTTAATTAGTTAATAAAAATACTACATTAAATAATAGATAATGCAACTTGGCTAACATTTCTATTTGTACTCTCCTTATAATTACATTAGTTTGCTTTATTTCAAATGTTGACTGAAATATACAGGAAGCAAAACCAAAATGTTTCCACCTCCTGGATCCAAATAGAGCCATATTAGTAGCAATAACTCAAATTTCTGGCTTTGCTAGTTGTGCAGAAACTCCCAACTTCAGTGGAAGCCTTCCCAAATAGTTTGGGAAGGGCTGCGTGTCTCCTATGATCTTACACAACAGTCTCCCAGTTGCAGTCACCCTGTAGTATCTACAGTGTTTTTTCTCACCAGCTCTGGTCTCCATGTGGAGCTTCTCTTTTCTCTGAGCCACTGAGAAGTCCTACCTCGGGACCATTTGATTGGTACCACCTGAGAATAACACCTGAAAAACAACAGTTTCAGCTTCTGCCCACAAAAGCCTCAAAAATAATGTGCCTTGAGTTAGGCTGAAACCCCCTTACCAACTTATTTCTTCTGTTTAGCCTTATATCTATCCCTTCTCTGGACACATATTCATACTGCCCCACCCTTCCTTCTTCAAGAAATAAAATGTTATATTTCACGTAAGACCCTGGCTGTATCCAGTAAAATCTATATACTCTGTCAGACTTACCCCATAATTATGAATAATCTTTAGACTCAGCTGAACTCAACACTACTCAAATAGTAGTGGAGGTTAAAAGTGAATAATGTCCTTCAAGGCTAATAATGGTGAAAGACAGCAGTCACAAGTGACCCTCTTTTCCTTCCCTGCCCCCATTTTACACTGCCCAAGTAATCACTTTCAATTTTCAGCAATTTCCTCTTTTACTTAACTCTCTATCTAAATAATATGCTTATACTGTCAACTCTTGATTTTTCAGTTTTATGCATCATATACTAACTTTTCATTGTGAACAACAGGAATGTACTTCACTTCCTTCCCATCACCACCTTGCAGAAATAAATCTTCCTTTTCTTCATTTTCCAATATAGTCATATGATATTTGCTTATATTGTTTCATGTTTATGTTGTTATGCTTATATAACGACTCCCAGCTGCAGCTGTGCTTTATAGCAGATTTCCCCAACCCCCAGGCCACAGACCTGTAGTGGTCCGTGGCCTGTTAGGAACCAGGCCACACAGCACGAGGTGAGCGGCGGGTGAGCGAGTGAAGCTTCATCTGTATTTACAGCTGCTCCCCATCGCTCACACATCTGCCTGAGCTCCGCCTCCTGACAGGTCAGTGGCTGCATTAGATTCTCACAGGAGTGTAAACCCTGCTGTGAACTGCACATGTGAGTGATCTGGGTTGCACGCTCCTTATGAGAATCTAATGCCTGATGATCTGAGGTGGGGCTGAGGCAGTGATGCTAGCACTGGGGAGCGGCTGCAAATACAGATTATCATTAGCAGAGAGGTTTGACTGCACAGAGACTATAGTTAATCAATGGCCTGCAGACTCATATCAAAACCCTATCAGTGAGTGGCAAGTGAAAACACGCTCAGGGCTCCCACTGATTCTGCATTATGGTGAGTTGTATAATTATTTCATTATATATTACAATGTAATAATAATAAAGTGCACAATAAATGTAATGCATTTCAATCATTGTGAGCCATCCCCCTGCCCACCCCTGGTCCATGGAAAAATTGTCTTCCATGAAAACGATCCCTGGTGCTAAAAATGTTAGGGACCACTGCTTTATAGTAATTATGATGACTTTCTTTTCTTGTGTGTATCTTGTGTTTTACCTCAAATTCATTTCTTTGTTTTACTTTTGCTTAGTTTTCTGTGTATCTATCACTAATTTGATGGTCAGATTCAGCTAGGAAAATATGTATACTCTTAATGCATTTTAAACTCATTAGGTTTTCTATCAATTCCGTCTTCTTGCATCATCTTTTCCAGAGCAATATGTCCTACTGCAGTCTGGACTGGCTACTATCTCAGGCTTCTGTATAGCTTTTATTCTGGAGTATCCCTTCTGTCATTTCCTTGTTTCCTCAATTAAATGTACTTTTTTAACTGCCTTCCACCTTTTATTAAATGAGCACATCTAACAGAGAAAGGAAATGTGAGATAATCATTTTTTTTTAATTTTTTTTTTTTTTTTTTTTTTGCGGTACGCAGGCCTCTCACTGTTGTGGCCTCTCCCGTTGCGGAGCACAGGCTCTGGATGCGCAGGCTCAGCGGTCACGGGTCACGGGCCCAGCCGCTCCACGGCATGTGGGATCTTCCTGGACCGGGGCACGAACCCGTGTCCCCTGCATCGGCAGGCAGACTCTCAACCACTGCGCCACCAGGGAAACCCCGATAATCATTTTTAAGAACAGATATGTCTGTATATTTACTCACTTGGTTCAAATTTTGCTGGATGTAGAATTTGAGGTTTAAACAAGACTTCCAGAAGTTTGAAGTCACAGCTCCATTTGGGAGAAGAAACTGGAGCGTGGCCCCATCTTTCACCATATATAAATTTACATGATCCTACTATTTTCACCAGAGTATTTCTCTTTCCATTGCCTGATATTCAGTCCACAATCCCTTTGGTTTAGCCTCTCCTAAGGATGACAGGGAGAAGGAGATCTGTAGTCTAAGTGCATCCTAAATGGACTTTGAAAAAATCCTGATGAAGTCAGTCCCTCCTGCTTCATTTATGTATAGTGGTTCGTGGTGTAACACTACTGAGCCTTTGGTGTGTAAACAAGTGGGGCAAATTGGATTTCTTTTCAGTTTCCCCCCTACTAAGTTAGGCTTCAGATTTCTTACGTTTGCTAAGTCAGTTACTACTAGTAAGCCACTTGCTACTTTTAGCATTCCATCCTCATTTCTTCTTGTGATTATTGGTTTTGGCTTTTTATTAATTACTCTGTTGTTAAAATGGTAGAATTGAGAGGAAATGGAGGTAAATGTGTATATCAATCTGCCATGCTGTCTTAAAGAGAAGCTCAATATAGCTTTCTGTCTTCAAATATTTGTTTGAAACTTTTCAAAGCTACAAGAAATATTCAAGAATAGTACAATGAACACATATTCTATATGCATACCTGCATATAGGTAACTGATTGATAATAAATTGCCATGGATGTGTCACCCACTCTGTGTGTGTATAAGGTCATATCAATTTCAAATTGGACTGAAGTTACTTAAAATAACTGTTGATTGAAGGCTAACTTTAGGATGTGCTAAATAACCATAATATGTCCACACTCTATCTCCATTAAGCAAAGCTGCCTTTATGATTATGAAAAAGAATTTAGAACTGTTTTCTCACTTCATGAAACGAGAAAATTGGAGTATACAAATTTGTACAATCTCGCCTCTAGCTCTCAAAGTTTATGGTTCTATGAATAAACATCACTTATAATTTTGAAAATGAAATAAATTTGAGTGAAAGCAAAGTTATGGAGCAAAATGTCTTATTAAAATGTTTATCTTTCTGCATAAATTCACAATAGGCATATTGTTTGTAATTGTTTATAATGATATTTATAATTTATAAATTACACCTGTGTATGCTGTCTGAATCCACGCCAATAATGAATGAGTTAACTTTGAATCGCCTTATTTGTAACTGAGCCACCTTATACAAGTAAGTGCATTTGTACAGATTATTGGACTCTAGAACCAAAGATCAAAGGTTAAAAATCTACAGTATAAATTAGGATTCAATTTCAACTTACTTTGCAGTAAATAAAATCTATTATTATTCATATCACAAAAGAGAAAATACTGCTATTAATTTTATATGCAGTTATTCTATAATATTTCCCATTTTGTATAGTCTATTTTTCATTTAATTTCACTTGAATTAAACCACTTTAGAAATATAATAGCTACAATAATGTCTTTTCACTTTTAATTGATTCCACTGAGTGAGAGTACATTTTCAAAATTATTATCAACACTATTAGTACAGGGCAAATAACTATAATGGTAAAGAACTTTGAGTTTAAACAATGGTGTTATATTTTTTTCTCTTAGGAAGCTCTGATCATGGCAAGTATGGACCATCCACACTTAGTCCGGTTATTGGGTGTGTGTCTAAGCCCAACCATTCAGCTGGTTACACAGCTTATGCCCCATGGCTGCCTGTTGGATTATGTCCATGAACACAAGGATAACATTGGATCCCAGCTATTGCTTAATTGGTGTGTCCAGATAGCTAAGGTAAGTGCCCATCACTTCTGTCTTTATATTTCCTAATCTAGAACAGTTTGGGTATTCAGTCTATTTAAATAAAATAAATTATATTTGCTATATTGAAAGATATAGGGAGGTATTTTCATTCAAACCACAGATCAATCTCATAATCTATTTATATATTTTGGGATTATTGTACTGTGATGTTTGTGTTATATTGACCAGATACCAAAACAAATAACTTATTGGTCAGGAGGAAAAATTGTTATACTGGATTTGTTTGGCTTTGTTGTTTTTGTTGTTGTTTAGGAATAGTTTAGTTAACAAAATTCAAGAAGGAAAAGATTGAAGGTTTGAGTTGTCCCATTTTTAGATGATTTTGTTAGCGTAGCATGTACGTTCAATTCTCAGAATTACAAATGATCAAATTCTAAACATTTTTCTAGACATTTTGATAACTCTCGATTGGTCTTTAATAGTTGTCTTTTTGTTGTTGTTCCTGGTTTTGTTTTTGTTTTTTTGTCTGGCACAAGGTCTCAGTCATATAACGTATGTTAGGAGAGTGATGTGGATTTCAGTACCTGGGGTGATGGAAGGAGATGGTTCTATGTGAAGTAGAAAACATGTACTTGCTTCTTGGGGACTATGTTTTTTTTTCCACCTGAGTTAACGGATCTTCAAAACTTTCAGGAAGGGCCAGAATTCTGGATTTTTCTCTAAATTTAAACCTTGGCTCAAACTTTTGAAACACCCTGGGAGCCAAGCAAAGCTTTCACATCCTGTAGTCCACCAGTGTGCAACTTTGGAGTGCATACTTTAAGTTCAAAGAAGCCATTACAATTTTCTATACCAAGATAAATAGGTCTGGGATGAGTTTTAATTCACTATTCTCACTCTTATTTACACCAAAATATGACCTGATGTTCTATGAATTCTACAGATCTGATCATTTTAGCATTTGTATAATGTAAAGGCCAAAATGTCAATCCAGTAGTTTTAGCCTATTTCTTTTTACAATCTGAGAGTGAATAAAAATACATCACCCAAAGAAGAAATTGGAGAAAATTCTTAAAATGCAAACCCAAAAAATTATTTGAGGGAAAAGCCCAGTTGAGTTTTCTGTACTGTAAATCTTGATATAGTCTCCTTATGGACCGTGTATTACAGTTTTGTGAATATCACATGGCAGACTCACAACGGAGAGGATCCTTTACAGTAATGAAGTTTGAAATATCACTCTTCAAAAAGTGATTTAATTATCTAAGAACTTCTATAATTTATAAGGTGAGCTAAATGTAAATGTGCGATAGACATTCTCAAATCATCCTAGCACTATAAATGAAAACAAAACCAAGTTTTGAATTTCTTAGTTCTTCTCTATATTTCCTGCAGTCTTCTCCATAATTTAGGTTTTGTCCTTAGGGATTCATGGCATTAATATATCATTTATGCAAGACTGTACACTCTAATAATAGAAGCTACTTTGAGTTCCCTGAATAATCACACTGTTTTAAAATCTTTTTGCCTTTGTAAATGACATTCCTTCTGCTTAGAAATCTTTTCTCATACTTCTTGATTCACGTAGCATGATGTTTTTGATCCATCAACACTGATTGGGCTTCCTCCCCTTGTGAAGTCAAACTCTTTTCTCTCTAAAGAGAAGTAACTTCCTTCTCTTCTGTGTTAGTTTGTATTGTATTATTTAAATGTTATACTGCGTGTTTATATAACTCTCTGACTATATGGCATATTTGTTTAGTCATTAATCTTTTAATAAATATGTGTGGACACCTACCATGTGCCAGGTACTATGTAGACTGCGGTGTCTAATGGTAAGAATAAACATTCAACAAATAAAACAACTAGATACAGGATTAAACACTTTGGTTTAGATTTTGAAGAAAAATAATTACAGGGGAGACTTAAGGACAGACCCCACTGAGTCCCGAGAGAGACTTTGGCTATGAGAAGAAATTTAGGCAGAGGAAAGATAACACAGAGCCCTATATATATGGTGACCATGTAATTTGTCATCCGAATGAACAAGTTTAAGAGTGAAAGGGGGCTCTATTACTAGTTATGCCGGGACAACAGGCACACAAATGTCCTAAACAGAGCAAGGTATGTGGTAACACTGTGTAGCATGGAAAATTTGGATTTTATTATAAATGCAGTGGATATTGAAGTATTTTGCCCTGGACATGATATAATCTAATTTATTTTCTAAAGAGATCATGCCAATTTATGTATGGAAATTAGATTGAGGCAATGCAAGAATGGAAATGAAGATGCCAGTTAGAAGTCTGGGGGTAATGAAAATAAGAAGTTAATGAAATTATGAAACATTTTTGAGACAGTTTAGGTATTTGATTATCGATTAGAGGATGCTGAGGGAGGGAAATATGGTGGTGCTGTTGCCTGAGGTGGAGAAGGCTAGTTCAGTTCCAGACATGGCAAATGGACAGGGTTTATTGAACATGAAAATGGAGCTATCAATTAGGTAGTTGAATTTGGTCAGGATTGTAGATATAGATTTAAGAGTTATAAGTATTCAAATATATGGGAAGATATGAGATTACCTAGTAGTTACTGATTTGGTCTGATTCATATTTTTTCCCAGCACTTAAAATTGGGTCTTACATGTAGGTAGCTATTCAATATATATTTAATAAATATATTTAACTCATAAAGAAAATGAAAAAAAAATTTACCCTTAAGGAGGGAGTCCTTCCTTTATCTTGTTTTCCTACTTTGGGGGCAGAATTGTGTAGTGGAAACAGCTTTAGGGTCAAAAGGACCTACATTAGTATGCCAGTGCCCACATTTTGGTTTTGTGAATTTGAGTAAATTATGCAACCTCTTTGAATTTTTGTTTCTCAGTGTATTAATGGAGTTAATAATTATTACATTTTTCTTCATTCACAAAATGAGTATAGTACTATCTACCTGCAGTAGGCTGAAAAATAATCCCCTGCCTTCAAAATGTTATGTCCTATCCCCATCTTCTGTGAACATGTTAATTTACATGTTAAAAGGCATCGTGAGGATGTGATTAAATTAAAGATCTTGAGATGGGGAGATGATATTATCCTGGATCATCCAAGTGGGCCAGTGTAATCCGAGGATCCACATAAGTGGGAAGCAGAAGAATCAAAGTAAGAGAGAGAAGATATAAAAACGGAAGCAGAGTTGGAGTGATATGCCTGGAAGATGGAGAAAGGGGGACACAAGCTGAAGAATACAGTCGACCTCTAGAAGCTAGAAAAGGCAGGGAAACAAGTTCTCCCCTAGAATCTCCAGAAGGAAAGCAGGCCTGCCAACACCTTGATTTTAGTCCAGTTTAGAAACTGATTTTTGACTTCTGATGTCCAGACCTGCAAGAAAATTAATTTGTATTGTTTTAAGCCACTGCATTTGTGGTAAGGAGTTATAGCAATAGAAAACTAATAAACTTCCTCATAGTGATTTGCAAAGATTAAATAAAATAGCTCATGTAAAATCCCTGGCTCAGCTCCTAGATCATGGAGTATTTAAAAACAATCTTCTTTTATTAGCTATAGGTCAAAAGCCTCAAAGTAGAGAATTGTTTCAGAAATGTCTGTAGAATATGAGTAATTTGGTCTGAGTCAACACAAGTATTTTGCAAATAATTATTTCAGTAAGTTAGAGGCTTTTCTTTACTTCCAGTTCTCACTGAGAAAATTTATGAAAGTGAGATATCACCATCATAATTACTCCAATACCCACTTTCATTTTGGCTGCATCCCTTTTATTTATTGACAAAACCGGTAGAAGGGGAGATATGATGCTATAAAATAACCAGCTTATACTTGCGTTATAAAATACCTGTGGAAAGTGTAACATAAGTAGAAGAAATAATAATTATGGCTAACATCAAGCACTTACTCTGTGTAAGCCACTACTCTGTATATTTTATTCATTAGTTAATTTTTCTCATCACAAACCTTATAAGGTAAGTATCATTAGTATGTCCATTTCACAGATAAAGTCAGTCACAGAGAATCTGTTACATGATTAAATTCACACAGCGAGTAAATAAATATTATAACCACTAATCTATGTTTTTATATATAAAGAAGAAAGTATTTTTTTAAACTTTCATCCATATTCCAAGTTTTCCTTCCGTTCTTCCATTGGTACATCATTCTACAACATTTTATGTAACAGAAACACAAATTTCAACACCAAAATTTCTTCTTATCAGCAGCCATTTTCACTCTGCATGTGCTGCATTTAGAACTTGATTTAATTTGGTAAGCAGAGCAGAACGTATTATTATTTAATGTTTGTATAATACCATATGCCTTCCTGGGGCTTAATGAATCAAGGATAGAAGATAATTGTGAGAATTCCTTCTTTCAGAGTTGTTGCTAACAAGTTGGGCAAGCAGTTTTGAAAAGACAACTTGGCAGATTCTGAAAAGTGTATGTGAGTTTAGTGAAGGAATTTCATGGTGAGTCCATGTAGGTAAAGCGTGTCTTACACAACAGGCATCTGCTTGGTGCTTTATATATTTTGTATTATGTAATCTTTACTGAAACTCTAGCAGGTATGACCCATTATTCTCCCAGTTTATAGATCAGGAAAATGGAGGAACTTAAGTCCTAAAGGACACAGCAGTAGGTTGAAACGCCTGGATTCTGTATCAGTAACTCTGATGCCTCCTGAGCCAGGTCTTTAAACCATTCTTTACCCTTTCCTCTCCAAATATATGCACCACTGCAGCTTATAGTCACTTGCACTCGTCCTGAATTTGAGGAGTGGAGGAGCGTGACATTTTGTCTGTAATTGTGTCTCATCATCATGCCCATAAAAGAGACGATTCCATCATGAATAATACTTTTTATTGTCTTCATGGAAATTTTTTATTGCTTTATCATGAAGGTCTATGTCACATTTTCAGGATCAAGTGCTAGATATTCATTTAATTATGGGAGAATTTTTTTAATTGATGTTTTACATATAAAATATTATGATAAAACAAGCTCAAAACTATTCTGTGAGCT